AGCATGAAGATTCAAAATGCCCAGTTTGAGACATAATTCTTGGAAACATTGACCTCCAAGAGGTTTTGTGAAGATGTCCGCTAGTTGAGAGCTGCTTTCAACATGAATATGAGTGAGATTACCTGACTTTATCTCGTCACGAACAAAATGGCAGTCGTTCTCGATATGTTTTGTACGCTCATGGAAGACGGGGTTTGTGGCAATGTGTATTGCTGATTTACTATCACAGTAAAGGTGCATTGGCTGAGAGTGTGCCTCGCCAGGGTCTTGTAGAACACGTTTCAGCCATATAAGTTCCTTTGTTATATAAGCCATGGCTCGATATTCGGCTTCTGCTGAAGACATACTAACAGTTTCTTGCTTCTTCGTTTTCCAAGAAACTGGAGAAGTACCAACCTGAACAAAATACCCAGTAACAGATCTTCTTGTAATTGGACAGCTTGAATAATCTGAATCACACCACCCTGATATCTGAAAATTTTTCTGTGCCTTCAATAATATACCTTGGCCTGGATTACCCTTCAAGTATCGCACAACCCTTAACGCAGCTTCCCAATGATCTTCTCTTGGTGCTTGCATAAACTGTGCTAAAATGTGTACACAGAAAGCCAAATCAGGTCTCGTCGCAGCCAAGTATATTAGGCGCCCAATCATTCTACGGTAAGGCTCTGGATCCGGTAACAATGGTGAAGTAGACAGAGCCAGTTTATGATTCTGTTCGAGAGGAAACTTGGCCGGTTTGGAGCCCAACAGACCAGCATCTGCGACAATCTCAAGAGCATACTTTCTTTGACTTAAATAAAATCCTTTTGAGCTTCGAGACACCTCTATACCCAAGAAATACTTTAGTGCACCAAGATCTTTCATCTTGAAACAGGATGCCAAGTATCGTTTGAAAATAGTAAGCGCTTCATCTAAATTACTCGAAACAATCATATCGTCGACGTAGATAAGAATATTAAGTCGTATCCCGCCTTTGTCGAAGGCAAACAAGGAGTAATCAGAGAGTGATTGAATAAAACCGTACTCTCGCAAAGCGCTTGTCAACTTCTCAAACCAGCAGCGAGGCGCCTGCTTCAGCCCGTACAAGGATTTGCGCAGCCTACACACTTTCTTCTCATCATTTGTGAAATAACCAGGTGGTGGTTTCATGTATACTTCCTCGGTTAGATCACCGTGCAAAAATGCGTTGTGCACATCCATCTGATGCACAGGCCAATTATTTCCTGCAGCTACTTCCAGAAACATACGAACCGTTTGCATTTGCGCCACCGGAGCAAACGTTTCGCCATAATCCACGCCTTCAACTTGCCTGTTGCCAAGAGCAACCAAACGTGCTTTGTACCTTTCGATCGTCCCGTCGGCGTTATGTTTAATCTTGTAAACCCATTTTGAGCCAATCGCTTTTTTTCCAGGTGGTAAATCCTCAATTGTCCAAGTATTGTTATCCTCAAGAGCTCCTACCTCAGACCCCATTGCATTCGTCCACACCTTACTCTTAATTGCTTGTTTGAATGTCTTTGGCTCAACAGCTTCAGTGATTGCAACCAAGTATGCTCGATGCGTGGCTGAAAATCGAGTAGATCCAACATAATTTTCAATCGGGTAAAGGGATTTAGGCTTATCCAAAAGCTTTGTCTGTGCCGAATTTGTCACAAAATCTTTTAAAGTGACTGGTTGTACACGAGGTCTTGTCCCGCGACGAAGAGGAGCAGCCACCGGAGAAGGATTTTCAGCTGCTCGAAGAGAAGAAGCCGGAGCTGGTGATGTAACCGTTCAGGTGTAGACGGCGACGATGGACAGAACCAGAAACAAAAGGAATTGATTTCGGCGATGAAGATTCTGGTGGAGAAGACGACGATGACTGTGTCGTTGTAGGAGATATTTCAACAGATGGGCTCATATTAGATAATGTTTCTAATGGGCCATCCAAAACAGTTGGGCCTGCTAAAGGATTAACTCTTGTAGGCCTAATTTCTTCTTCTTCAAACGGGCCTATAGAATTTGAGACCCAAATTTCTTCTCCTTCTTCTTCTTCTTCTACGTTTCTTCCATATGAATTTCCATCTTTAGCAAAAGGAAACTCTGTTTCTGAGAAAACAACATCACGAGAAGAGAAAAATTCATTTGTATGAAGATCATATAGTCTCCACGCCTTTTTCCCATAACGATATCCCACAAAGATACACTTTCGACTTCTTGAAGCAAATTTGTCTCCCTTGTGCGTTTGGTTATGCGCATAGCAAAGACTCCCAAAAACCTTCAAGTGTTCATAGCTAGGAGCTGTTCCATGTAATCTCTCATATGGCGTTGCTCCATTCAACACTGAACTTGGAGTTCTATTGATCAAATATCCAGCTGTCAAGATACATTCTCCCCAAAATGTGATTGGCAAATTCGATTGAAACCTTAAAGCTCTAGCAACATTCAAAATGTGTCGATGCTTTCTCTCTACTCGTGCATTCTGCTGAGGCGTACCCACACATGAAGTTTCATGAACTATTCCTTGACTTTGAAAGAACACACCCATGCTTGTAAATTCTGTCCCATTATCACTTCTAACACGTTTCACTTGTTTCTGGAATTGTCTTTCAGCCATAGCGATCAAAGCTTTCAAATTAGTTGCTGTTTCAGTTTTGTCTTTCTGAAGATAAACCCACACACTTTTTGAAAAATCATCTACGATTGTAAGAAAGTAGCGAGCACCAGAAGATGAAGAAACTCGATACGGTCCCCAAATGTCACAGTGAATGAGCTCAAAAACAGAAGTTGTTTTATTATCACTAATCGGAAAACAAGACCTTGTTTGTTTAGCGCGAAAACAGACATCACACGCTTTATTGGAAATTGTAGAATCAACAGAAACAGAAACATGCGGAAGTGAACCAACTACTCTAGCAGACGGATGTCCCATCCTATTATGCCACAACTCATAAGCTTTCGCCTCCTGCGTTGTAACTGACGCCACCAACTCCGTTCTGCAAAAGCGGAAGGTTCCACCATCTCTCTTACCCGCACCAATCATCGTCCTCGAAACGCGGTCCTGGATAACAAGGAACTTATCAGCTAATTGTACCACACAATTATTTTCATCCATCAACTGACCCACTGAGATAAGATTAGACTGAAATTCTTCAACAAAGAAAACTGATTTCAAAACCAGACTTGATCCCAACATAACAGTTCCTTCTTTACATGATATTCTTTCCCTACCATCAGCTAGAATCACTAACACTGGTTCCATATCCCTCACGTTTGCAAGAATTTCATAGTTTCCCGTTAAATGATGCGAAGCTCCTGTGTCTAAAATCCAAGTAGGAGAGAACGACTTACCAGAGAGTTTTTCCTTGCTTATGCTGGCACCACCATTCGCATTCAAAAGCTTCACAAGATTCTCCCACTGAATCTCACTTAGCCCGCTGACTCCATCACGATCCTTCTCCGTGATCACACGATTAGCATGTTCTTGAACAGAAATGTGAGCTGCATTTGCAATGCTCATGTTACGACCTCGGCCAGCAAAAGACACACCACGTCCTCTACCTTGCATCGTTCTTCCCTTTGGTCTATCACCCCACCACTCCGGATACCCAACAACCGCAAAGCAGCTATCAGAAGAGTGGCCTCCACGGTTACAGTGTTTGCATACAGGCAGCCCTTCATCAGTACGAACTTGTGAATTAACACGAGCTCGTTGTTGTACTGCATTCGTAGTGACTTCAGCAACTTCATCACTCTTTTTCACATTGGTCCTCAAATCTTCCTCTTGACGGACAACATTATACACCTCCTCCATGGGTTGAATTGGTATACGAGACACCAAACTCGACCTCACCGTCTTGAAAGCGTCATCAAGCCCAGCCAGAAACTCGTGAACTTTGTCTTCTTCACGATCTTGTTCCTGGAGAACATTGAGGTTGCACTCACACTTACCGCATTTACAGACACGCAAAGGCCTGTGGTTAGCCATGCTATCCCAGATCCGGCTTAATTTTCCGTAGTAAGCTTCGATCGCAAGCCCTCTCTGCTTACAGCAAGCGAGTTCCGCCTTGAGCTGCTGAACACGTGGTCCATTGGTTACCGAAAACCGCTTCTTTAGGTGATCCCACAGATCCTTGGCTACGTTCCGATGAGAGATGTTGGAACGCAGTGAAGGATCAATGGTCATTCTGATCCATGAGACCAGCAACGCCTGAATGGTCCACCAATCTTCCAAGTCGGAAGACCCTTCTGCTGGCCGAGCAATGGATCCATCAAGAAATCAAATTTCTTCCGTGAGCAAAGTGCAGTTTTCATACCACATGCCCATTCTTCATAGTTCACCCCCTTCAGCAGAGGATGAGAAATCACGGCGCCAGGGTTGTCAGCGGCCGTCAGGTCATAAGGAGAGATCTTGCGTCTCACCTCCCCAGTCGTCGGGTTCGCAGCTCTGTTTTCACCATTTTCAGACATGATGAAAAAAAAATCAAGAAATTCAGAGTTTTTGTGTTTCAAGCTCTGATACCATAAAGAATCAAGAGTAGAGATGAAAGAGATTTCTATATTTTTCCATTGAGAATCGATTACAGATATATATACATTACAAAGACTTAGTCACCAAGCTAATCAAACGTAATTACCAAAGATTTGAAGAGAATATACAGTAGAGATTAAGGGAACTAATTACTCTAATTTGCATAACTTACGGGATATGATTTCCAAAGGTAAATGATATCCCAATATAGCTACTAAGTTATCCAGGAGTAAGTCTGTTTTGTTAGAGCCGATCACCTGATTAACCCGAAGCAGGGTGAAACTAGTCGAAGATGGTCAATTGTGGAGATTGACGACATTCACCTTGTATTCTAAGAAAAGTCTGTGACACTAGGCTCACAACACAATATACCACAAAATTAGTATCATCCATATGTCTTCCTCCTTTATTGAGAGAAATAATGTATGACTACATTTATACACACAATATTGAAAAAAGCTTTGCACATGTGATGAATATGACCCTCGTTTCTTGCAATATGAGAGAGTTGTAGAAAATAAAATAAAAATAGCACACAAAATGAAAGTATGGAAACTGGAAGTTTTGAATTAGTCACACCGAAACTTTGTTCTTGATATTTATTAATAGAGTTGGCGACATCACATAATGTTGCATTCACATGTCGTACCCTTTCCCTTTCGGGGGGATTGATGATGCATTCCTCTTTCATGTGCTATCTCACTCTGTTTTAATGCATTTTCCATCTGAAAGATAACCAAAGTATATCAAGTTAATATATAGTATGCAGTAAAAGATAAATATTCAAGCTTACATAATTTTAAATATGAAGTTACCATTTTTTCCATCATTTCCATGGTTAATCTATCTTTCTGTTGAATTATGTCTTTCGATTGACGCATCTCTCGTTCATATGTCTCCGCATTCTGTATTAACATTTTGACAAGAAATAAAACCAAAGAATACTAAATTAAGTGTGTGAAATGAAGAATAATATTCATACTAACAAATGTTATGAATAAGAATTACCATTTGCGTCATCATGTTGATGGTTTGTGTGTCTTTCAGTTGGAGTGTGTCTTTTAGTTGACACATGTCTCTTTCATGTACCATTGCACTCTGTTTTAATGCAGTCTCCATCTGAAATAAAACCATAAAATACTAAAAATTTCATGGAGATAAGAATAAGAATTGACGTTTACAAGTTTATAAACACGAATTAACCATTTGTTTCACCATGTTCATGGTTTGTGTGTCTTTCAATAGGAGTGTGTCTTTAAGCTGACTCATCTCCCTTTCATGTGCCATAGCACTTTGTTTTAACGCATTCTCCAGCTATAGGGAAACCAGAGAATAAGAAATTAATTGAATGTTGGAAAAAAATAATTCAAATTTTCAAAGCTTCTGAATTCAAATTTACCATACGTACCATCATGTTCATGGTTTGTGTGTCTTCGATATGACTCATCTCTCTTTCATGTGTTGTTGTACTTTGTTTTAACATATTCTTCACATACTTTATAAAATTTAATATTGAATTAACTGCATGCATTACATACATAATCAATATTAGCATGAAATTTGTTTATGCATATAATTTTACCGGTTGTATCTTCGTGTTCATGGTTTGATCATGATCCACTCGTAATTTCTGCTTCATCATTGGTAAGTCTTCTTCTGCAAGGTTCTTAGCATCTATATTACTTTCTTGTTCCCGGAGCTTATCATTTTCTTCCTGAAAAACCAAAGATTTTCAATATTTAAATCTTTACATAGGTTGTTTCTATTACATCTATTGCAATAGAGTCAAGATATATTTCACATGAATTACAAGATAACAACGCTAGATATACAAATGTTAAACAAAATAGATAACGGAGTGAATGAATTTGAATCTATCGAACTGTAGGTTATATATCTCTTCCAATAACTTTCACCAAAGCGTTCACTATTTTAAACGCTTTGAGCTTTTCATAATTTTGAAAGCTTTAAGATTACAACAAGAATAACGTTTTGTTACAAAGGAAGAATAGCAAAAGAACCCACATATCTTCGTTTTAAAGTCACATTTAATGGTATTGTAGCATTCAGGCATTTTGAAACGATTCATCGAGTTCTACTAAAAAAATGTTAGTTTAGAGTTTAACATTTGAGCATTTTAAAAAATTTAAATTGGGCTGTTTTTACTTTTAAGGGTGTTTCACAAACCCTTCCCCTCAAAAAAGTCTATCCAGTTTTTCAACCTTCTCCTAGAAACTTACTCTTTGGAGGGTTTTAAGTAACATCATTTAGTTCTCTAATTCAGATTTGTCCACTTTATTGAGAACATTTACCATTATTATGTATATAGTATAGCAAATTCTAGAAAATAGTAACCGGGCCTTGTGGCCTAGTGGTAAAAAGGTCACAGCTGTGACTTCCGCCACCAGGGTTCGAGGCACGGCCACTGACAGATTTACATAGGGGAATTGCCAGCCTCGTGGGATTAGTCTTTGGACCTAGGAAGCCTTTGGGAGACCCGCGGTTATTCAAAAAAAAAAAAAAAAATTCTAGAAAATAGTTTGTTAGTGAAAAATGAATATAGTAACAATTTCTATAAAATAGTTTGTTAGTGAAAACATGAACACGTAAGGATATGGTTAAATGAGATGGAAATGACCGTTTCACTAATTAGATCATTAATTGTTTTTACTTCCGTTGAGGAGCTGGTGAAGAGGTTCATTGGTTCAATTTTAATATAGACAAATTTAAACATGGGAAGTAATTACCTAGTAAAATGGGAAATACATAGTTACCAAAATTCGTGTTCAAAACTTAGTGATATAACTTTTTTTTTTTGTCAGCACTTAGTGATATAACTTAGGAAAAATTAGAAATAAAGGATGTTTTTGATCAAAAATGTCTATCTATACCTTTTTAATAAGATTTGGTCAATTAGGTTTATTAAAACTAAAAAACTCAATTATACCCTCAATTCCATAATGATTGAACATAGTCCAAAACTTCTCATTCAAAAAGAGTCTTTCTTTTACCCAAAAAAATATATATATTTTACAAAAACCATTCTCTCCTTCTTTTTTCACGTGCCATTTTCTATATTTATTGGAATTTAGTCTATGATTAAGGTCTTCTAAACAGAACATCTAAGAACACTTGGCTCTGTGATAAACTCCTTGTCCCGCAGAAGAAAGTATACTACATCGTGATGGTAAGCCCAAACTGTAGAGTAACGTATCATTTGGAATCCTTGAGAAAAATTGATTCTTAAATTGATTATTTACCACACAACATATAATATAAGTTTTTGGGGTTGGTTTTCGGTTAATTCAAAAATCAAAAGTAAGAAAAAATGCGTTTTGATAAGGAAGAAGAAGAGAATATGTCAAAATTTCGTTCTCAACCTAGGTTTTACCAGGGGAAAACGTTTTCAATATTTAATTGATTCTAAAATTTTTAGAATACGTGGTCTAATTTTTGTAGGACATAATTAAAAATAATAATTTCATATTTTCGATTTTCATATTTGTAGATTTTGTTTCCTTATTTTTTTCTTCTCGATTTCTATTTTTATGGAATTTTGAATTAGGTAGAATGTATTTTCTAATTTTAGTAGAACATATAATCTAAATTATGTAGAAATATAGTAAAGTGTAGAATACATATTCTAAAAATTGTAGAACATAGAGTAATCCATAGAATATATATTCTAAATTTTGTAGAAATAGAGTAAAATGTAGAATACATATTCTAAATTTCGTAGAATATATCAAATTTGGAATTCTAAATTTTTTAGAACATAAGTCAATTCTAAAACGTGTAGAACATGTACAATGTGTAGAACACATAATCTAAATTTTTTAGAACTTACACAAAAGTTAGAAAACGTTTTCTAAATATTTTAGAACAAATTTCAACTATCTCAAAAACTACCAATTTTCGACGAAATCGCAAAATTTCTTCTTTAACTCTTCTTCATTATTACTTGTCAACACGTTTTTTTAATTTTTTTTTCTTAAAACTTCCTTAAATTAGATTTATCCACTTTTAAGGGTAATTTAGTCCTAAGAGACAATTTAGTAAAAAAAAGTTTAGATGGACAAATCTATTTCAAAACATCCTTTATTTCTAATTTTCCCTGAACTTTGAGCCTGGTGCTTTTAATCCTCAATTTCTAGTTGACCTTCAATTTAATCTCTAACTTTCGTTGACGAAGCCGATTGAGGCACGTCTTTAACTGGACAAACGGAAGATTAAGACGTTGTTATCTGTCCGTCTAATATATCCGTTAATAAGCGAAACGACGTCGTTTAATCAAATGAAAACTCCCAAATTTGATTAAGCTCGAACCCTAGAATACCAAATCGAAATTAGAAATACAAAATCGAAGATTCTCTCTCGTTTTCTTCTCTAATCTCGATTTCTTCTCAAAACTCGATCTCATCTTTATTCCTCAAGATCTGTTGTCTCGATTCCGATGAGTTCTAGCTCCGAGACATCGATAGTACTCGCTGCCCGTGGAGTGCCTTCAAAGTGTGAGAGAGGTTTAGGGGTAAGGATCTTTACATCGAAAACTCAACACAGCTATCTTGAAGTCTTGATTAGAGAAGAAACCGAGAGAGAATCTTTGATTTTGTATTTCTAATTTCGATTTGGTATTCTAGGGTTCGAGCTTAATCGAATTTGGGGGTTTCATTTGATTAAACGACATCGTTTAGCTTATTAACGGATATATTAGACGGACAGATAACAGCGTCTTAATCCTCCGTTTGTCCAGTTAAAGACGTGCCTCAATCGGCATCGTCAACGAAAGTTAGAGATTAAATTGAAAGTCAACTAGAAATTGAGGATTAAAAGTATCAGGCTCAAAGTTCATGCTTTAAACCTCCACAAATGGTAAAGTGACGATTTAAATGACATTTTTCCCTAAAAAGAAAGCATACATGATCAATTTATATGTGCACATATCAAACACAATTTTTTTTTACCTTGATCTTACGGTGCATATTTTCTGTATACGGTATCCCACCATTTTGCTTTCTAATATCCGTGACATGGGCTAAGAGCTGCTTAAGTTGCTTAGTCCTCTTGCCTTTATCCTTTGTCTTGTTGTTAAACAGTACCTTTCGTCCTCCACATAGTTTGAGAACTCTCTGGAAATTCGTAATTAATCCAAGTAAAAAAAAAAACAGAAATAATAATCGTTGCACTAATTTAAAAAATATATATGCTAAGATCGTAACGAATGCGAGCAGACCGTCAAAAATTCAGGGCAACCTTCACGTAAATAATCGTCCAAGGTCTGGTTGTCTGCTTCCAACTCGTCACGACCAGTGAACACCACAATGAAATAGTCAAGGATTTTATCATCAAATATGTGCTGCAATATGTTAAATGTAAACTCCTCCCGCTGTGAAATCCGATTCGTTATAGACAGAACAAACAACACAGCATGTATTCCTTCTTCCGCCATAGTTAAGCAATTCATTATTTCCTTACTGAGATAGTCTCCGGACACGGATGACTCGAGCAAACCTGTATCACTTACAATGTTACATTATGAATTTAATGATTTCAACTTTTCTTTTGGCAATGGTGTATTTTATCCGCCAATCACAGCTGTAATATAACTATATATAGACAAACAATTCCCAAAATGACTATGAATGCCGGTTTGGTGTATATAATGTTAGAACAAAGACTCTATATGAAGTTTGATGGAGTATATACCAGGAGTGTCAATCACATTGATTATTGGGCCATCTTTTATTACAGCTCTGAACATCTTACATCTTTGGTCCATATCTTCTCCAAGAAAATTTACTTCGAAATATTTTTGATCGATAATGGTGTTCCCGGTGCTGCTTTTTCCATTTCCGGCACGACCTAAGAGAATTAAGTTTGTAACGGGCCATTCCTGCTCAGCCATATTTTGATCACCACCAAGACGTTGCTAATTTTCTGCACTGATCCATAGTATTACAAATAAATTATACATGAACAAATATATATTCAAAATGACAATGAAGAGAAGAAAAAATTAATTGGTAGACTACACCAAATAGGAACTCACGATCTTTCTTTTTTTTTTTTTTTGAGTGAAGAAAAAAAGAATAATGAATGTAAAAACTTAATCAACGAAGCAGTACAAGACTAAATAGAAGACATTATGTGTTGATTAGGCTTTGAAAACAGCTATCGTTATTTTTATGTGTCCTATGAATTTATTTATGCTTTTGTACTAGTGTGATTAATTTAGGTGTTACAATATTATGTATATAACGTGGAACAAGAAACGGTAAAGGAAACAGACAGGCCAAGACAACTTCTTGAGGAGTGAGAGACAACTTTTGAGCATTGACTTTAGTTGGTAATTATAACCTATAGCCATCTAAACGGGGTGTAATTTGTGTGATCGTAATTTAAATAAATCACATAGCACAAAGGCACAAATTAACTTAGGATGACAATGTCCTGCATTAATTTGGAAAAATAGATTTGTACATGTATAGAGGAAGGTATCCTTATCTACAACATTACAAGGAAATTTCATTCAAGAAAAAGTAACATTAAACACACAAAAATAAAACTTGATGTCAGTTTGGAAGATGTGCAACAATCACACCTAACTTCTTCGGTCAATCTTTATTTGTAGAAATTACTCAGAATAATCTATATATTGTATGAAATAATTAGAATGACTCTGTTTTGAAAGGGATAACTAAAATGACTCACATCTTTTGTAAAAAGACTTTCTAATCTGTTTTTATTTTATATTAACGAAATTGCCATTATAATTTAATTAAAAAATAAAAAAATAATAAAAAACTACAAAATCAAAACCCAAACGACAAACATAATTTTCACAGAGATTAACTTTCTCTCTTCTTGGAGCAAAACCCTAAAAGGGAGAAAAATCCCACGACGTCTCTTCTCCGGTGAACGTGTCTTCGGCAAGTCATCTTCTCCGGTGAGGCCTCTCTTCTTCTTTGTTACTGGATTTTGTGTCTTCGTGGAGTCGTCTTCTCCGGCAAGTCGTCCTCTCTTCTTCATCGACGACGGATTTTGTGTCTTCGTCGAGTTATCTTCTCCGGCGAATCCTCATCTCCGGTGAATCTACAGTGAATTCTATTATTTTCTCTTGTCTCTCACTGATTCTCAGATGTGATGTTCTACAGGGAGACTATTACTCTTAGGAATCAGTGGCCTAATCGCTAGTTCAGATGGTTGCGTGATTCAATTAGTATTACTCCTTTGTTTTGTTTGGTTTCAGCTTTCTATGACTACAAATTTTTCAATGATGACAGATTAGTTTCTAGTGGTCGCAGATTTATTTATTATTGATGACAGATTTATTTGGTATAGTACTAATGAGAACAAATTAGTTTATGGTGGTGACGGATTTGTTTGCTTTTAATGACAGATTTGTTTGATTTACATAAGCATTTTGTGGTTTCAGGCTTATCGCAGATTAGTTATTGTCTTTCGCATATTTATTTTAAGTGGTCACAGATTTATTCTAAGATGTATGTTTGTGAGGTAATTTTTTCAGGTTTGTAAACAGTTTGCAAGTTTTTGTTAGAGAAGTAGCTCAGGTTTTTGTGCAAGTGTTCTTTTTTTCATGTTTTGGTTTTCTTGTTCTGTTTTTTTCAGGCTTTGGTTACAAATTTTGGTGTTAAGATTATCTTTAAGAAGGCGATTGGTGTCGATTTAACTTCAATGTTCTTGTTGTTTAGGAACTAAATTTGAGTTAATGAGATTTATGTATGTTGGATTTTGTTTCCAAATTAGTATAACGTGAATAGCTGTGATGATATATGTCTTTATGCAGGAGATGCAAAAGCTTACGTGGTGATATTTATGCAAAAAAGGCCATACTTGTTTTGAATGCTAGAGAAACGTTGCAATGGTCGTTGCAAATTTAAGATCCTCAACAAAAAATTTCTAAAGGTGAGCTATGGCCAAAGTCTCCGACTTGTCTCCGGTTATGCTTTAGCCAAGAAGCAACGACAGAGAAATGAAATTTAAGATTCAAAATCCATGTTTACTAAATTCCATACTATATATTTGTGTTTAAGCTTACATTAAATCCTCCTTTTTGTAGCTTCTACTTACATGTATAAGATTTTTATTTGTTACTAATATATTCCTTAAACACTCCCCATACGAAAGTAAAACAAAATGCTATATGTTTTTGACAAATTTCAGAAACTGTGTTCTCACAACAACAAAAACACAAACAAAAGCAAAACTTACCAACTTGAGCAATACAAAGACGACAATATGTGATCAACACCACATCCGGTTGTTCGCTATTATATTCAAAGTGTAATAACAAATCTATAGAATATAAGTTTGTGACAACTAAAAAGGTAGTTTAGTCTAGATTAAGTCTGCTACAACTACGACACATATCTGCGATGATGGGAAATAAATCTGTGATTCATAATATATCTGCCATCAAGAGGTAAAACTCTGTGATCACTAAGAGTCAGTCTAGTTATTATCTTTTGCAGTAACAAATCTGCAGTAACGTACAGACTTAACATAAGTCGGTAGGTACTATTAATAAGTCTGCATAAACGTGATTGACAATAAGTCTGTACGTAAGAAAAACAAATCTGTAGAAATAAATCTGCGAAACCTAGGAAATCTGCGATGTCATCAAAGAAAATCTGTAAGACAAGTCTGTGGTAGACAAAAAATCTGTAATAGCCTATAAATCGGTAGTAACCTATGAAAAAATCTGTATACTAAATCTGTGGTGGAAATAAATCTGTAGAACAAATCTGTGGTTCAAAAACAAATCGGCAAGATAACAAAGCAGCGATAACGATACAATTAAATCGGTAGCAGATTCTCTCATAGCTATTCTCTCATCTTACGCATCGCTCTTTCATGTTCTTCGGAATTCTGTTTAAGCCTACTAAAAAATAAATAGACTATATTACACCAAATTAAACAAGTGAAAAAAAAACTATAGTTCAAAGTGTATGAATATGAATTTACAAGTTGTGTTATCCGTCTCATTTTTTCGTCATGCTCCACTAGCTAAATTGACCATTGTTCGGTGTTTATTGAGGCTTGTTACCGCGCAAAATTGGGAGATGCATCAAATGGATGTGCACAACACTTTTATTCACGGTGATTAATTAACAAGAAATTTCTGCTAGTTTTTCGCATTTTGATCCGTCAAAGGTGTGTCGTTTACACTAGGCTTTTTACAGCTTGCGTCAAACACCACAATGTTGGTTCAAAAAGCTAATTAAGAAGTTGGTTGAAGCGGGATTCATTCATTCATATGCATATTATTCATTATTTTGTTCTTATCATGGTGATTTATGTTGAAGATTTGGTTATTTGTGGATATAACAACGCTGCCTTGGTCAAATTCAAGAGTACTTATCTCGAAGAGTGTTTTTTATATGAATGAACTAGACAAGCTCAAATATCTTTTTGGAATTGAGATTGCTCGAAGTCAAGAAGGCATCATGATGACACAAAAAAGTATGCCTTAAATATTGTAGCGGAGACAGGCTTAGTTGGTTCTAAACTAGTTCATACTCCAATGGAACAAAACCATCGTTAATTGGGTTTGGATACAAGTGACGTTCTCTCTTCTCCATCGAGCTATAGAAGATTGGTTGTGTATTTAGTTTATTTTGCTAATGCAAGATCTGATATTTCTTATTATGTTTATGTCTTGTCTCAATTTATGCAAACGCCTCGTGGAGGCCTCGATAAGAGTGATGCGTTTTCTCAAAAGAACATCTGGTCAAGAAATTTGTTTTGAGCTGACTCAAACCTGAGCTTTCTGTGTACTGCAATGCAAACTGAGCTGCTTGCCTAACGACGAGAAAATTTTAGGAGTATGTTTCTCTTCTTGGCGAGTTGCCTATCTCTTGGAAAGGAAAAAGTACGAAGTAGTATCACATTCTTCCGCGTGAGAAGAATATCTGGCAATTTCTAAAGCCAAAAGAGAGATCAAATGGCTTCGCCAATTTTTATGTGATATGGATTTTCCGCCTCCTAAACCAATACATTTGTTTTGTGATGGCAAGATCTATTCAGTGGCGGACCTACGGTGTGAGGTACTAGGGCACGTGCCCGACACTGATTATTAATTTTTATTAAGATCATTTTCCCATGGTTCTTTGTTGGATCAGTTGGTAACGTTTATGCATTGTTATTATGGCTTGTAAGGTGTTCGATGCCTCCAATTGCTTTTTTTTACTCATTTTTACTGCAAATTTTTAATATAATTATTAGATATATATAATATGTGCCCTAGGCTAATAATTCTTCTGGATCCGCCACTGGATCTATTCACATTACAGTAAATTCAGTTTTTCACGGAAGGACCAAACATGTAGAAATTGATTGTCATTGATAGTGATTCTATTAAAGATGGCTTGATTACTATTGGATATAAATTGGAGAGCAAGATGTGTATCTTGCGGGCCAAGTAATATGGATTGTTAAAGTCCGTTTATAAAGTGAAGCATGTGAAGCTCAAACCAAAGAATTAATTATTATGCTTTCTACAACAAGAGGTATTCGATATATTTTGGATAATTGAGTTTTATGGTCCAGATTTTCACAAGTATTTTTAATGAGATATATTCTTAAATATTTCAAGAAAAAAAAATTCAATATGAATTTAGATTTCTCACAAAGGAGGTGTTGTTTAGAATGCTTATGTTTTTAAGTCATTTTTAGTCCAATTTGTGGATTGTTCGAGATAAGAACGATTATCTATGGAGTTGCAGGATTTGCGCCCTTGAGATGTTGTTAGTCCCTTTTACCAAGACCGAAGACAAGTTCAAGTTCCATTCTCTTTTCAAAATTAAAGTTTATACCCTGAAGAGTCTGTTGACATGATTTATCTCTCCTCAACCTGATATCCACGATATTAGTGTTCCGCTTTGTGATTGCATATTTTGTGTTGCATGTCCCTCCCACCTTTGTCGTGCGGGGGAGTATTGGAGATAACTTTGAGAGCAAGATGTGTATCTTGCAGACCAAGTAATATGAACCGTTAAAGTTCGTTTATAAAGTAAAGCCCGTAAAACCCAAACCGAAGAATATTTTAAGTTTCTATATTATTTGTTGTACAAGCTATTTCTTTATTTGTTTAGGAAAATTTGTGTTATGTGGGTATGTTAATGTTATCACGATAGAAATGTATGTGAAAGTCATAATTACTTTCATGTGCCAACAACGGCTCAGTTGGCAGATGTATTAACAAAGCCATTGGGCAAGGTTCAATTCAATACGTTAAATATACACAACACAAGACTTAACTCCAAAGCCATAGACAAGACTTGCCGACCAAGTAAGTTATGAGTCGACAAGGCGCAACATACAATATGTAGCCTACTAACTATAATACAACATCTTAATTTAAAAGCAAGACTTGTTTTGTTAATTTTCTAAGACTTATTTGTATTTCTACAAGGATTACAATGAGAGAGGCAATGAAGGCATAATCAACATTTGGATTAACAGTAAGGCAGAAATTGTCCTTTCCGAAGAAAACGCTCTGCATCGTTTTCTTCTCGCGCATCTGCCATTCAAACAATACCATTTTTATTTCATCACAAATAAATGTTTTTATTTCTCAAGTTTTAACAATTAATAAAACATTGGCAAACTCCCAGTTCATAATATATATATATATATATATATATATATATATATATATATATAGATGGGTATATATAGTATAAACATGTTTATTCCAGATGTGAAAAAAGAAAAAAGTTTATTCTAAATAAACTAACCATACAAAAACATAAAATTATAGAAAACAGATTTATATGTTCAATATAGAAAGAAGCCGTGGCACGAATCACCTACTCATCACTTAAACCAATCCATCATCATAAATAAAAAAATTTATTTTCTATGTAACATTTTGTAACGTTATATTTTTGGTATAATTGGTAACTGATAATCATCTATTTTGTTTTAATGTCTCAAACTTAACATAAAGTTACAATTTTTTCATTTGTTTTTTTTTATTTATTTTCCTTATATATATATATATATCTTATGTTTTGTTTTCATATTTTATTTATATTTCGTCAGACAAAAACTTCTTTTCAATTTTAAATAGTTATAATATACTGTTAGACTTGTAGTAAGAAAAATATATCATTAAAAACTTAATTCGATATATTAGAAAATATATGATATATATAAACCTATCCATTTACGTAAAACCAAAGTGAGACGCATAGGACTTATTAAAGCTAAAAGGAAGGAAATAGAGTTTGTTTACTTGGGCAAGAATGATGTCAGAATCGCCGGCGTAGACAAAACAAGAACTCTCGAGCCAAACCCCTTCGAGTCTGTAATCACATTTCTTCTCCTCTATGTTGTCAGCCAAAAACACATCAAGTTTGGTCGTTATCTGAACCATGTTTGATCTTTTCACCGTGTATAGCAGATCACCCTCCTCCGTACTCCCTCCTCTAAACACTAGCCACCTGTCATGCATGGTCATTATCTGCAATCACCAAATCTGAATTATATTAATAAATCTAGCTCTATTATTAATTGTATATCAAGTTATGTGCTCTGTTTTTAATAAATTTGTACCTTCCCTTTCAAAGTCAAGACCTTAGTTCCAAAACCATCCAACAAGATCCTCTTCTCGTGAAGACTAAACAAAGGATCCTTCACCTTGAACAACAAGTTTCCGTCCGCATTCGTTATCACGAAGTTACCGTCCGTTATCTTCAACACCTTCCGTACGATCGCCAAATCTACAGGCTGCGGAGAGCAGTACTTTGGATCTACTATCACACTGGCTTTTGGAGGCGGCGGAGGAGCCGAAGGGCCAGTGCCTTGTGGGTAACGGTACATATAGGGCTGCTGCATTCTTTTCTTTTTCCTCCAAATATGGATACTCTCTCTCAGTTTTGTTTTGAAATGTTTTTTTTTTGGGTCTGGTTATGCCGTGAAGATAAAGTGTAAGGTTCTTAGAATTTATAAAGTAAACATCTTGCTCGAATATGTTGACTTTTAAAAGAAAAAGGTCTACGTGGATAAACTTATTATATGGATTTTCCTTTTTAAAATTCTAACTAAGATATTTATAAAATGAGAAAAAAAAAACAATATGTATGGAAATAAGAGAACCCTAATCACTTGTTCCTCTGTTACAATCCCTGTGACCACAAATTTTCAATCCACAAGTACATAACCACAAATTTTCAATCCACAATATGGCTAGTGTTACATAACCACAAATTTTCAATCCACAAGTACAAGAACCAAAACACATAACCACAAGTTTGAGAACCAAAACACATAAATTTTTTAACCAAAACATTTAAACACAAATTCTTAAAAATTTAAATTTTAAGAACCTCATTAGAAGTTCTACCATTGGACTAAGTAAAACATAAGAATTCATGAGGGGTTTTTAAACTTTTGATTTTGCAAGAATTTAAGTTATAAATATTTGTAAGAACTCCTCGTGGGTCCTTACCATTGGCGATGCTCTTACTCAACCAAACATTATGTTTTGATTTTTGTTTGAGATAAACAATATCTTAATTTTGATCTGCCATTTGAGTTTGTTTATGTGTATTGTGCTAGTCTAGTTAATTAATTTGCGTAGAATATTACTGTGCCATTTGAGTTTGTTTATGTGTGTATTGTGCTAGTGTAGTTAATTAATTTGCGTAGAATATTATTGTGCCATTTGATGAGTTTGTTTATGTGTATTGTGCTAGTGTAGTTAATTGATTTGCGTAGAATATTACTGTGCCATTTGAGTTTGTTTATGTGTATTGTGCTAGTGTAGTTAATTAATTTGCGTAGAATATTATTGTGTGTATAATATATGTTGAACTGGCCACGGTAAACGAATCAGAAGCCGAAGAAACGTCTTAGAGTGAGACGACTTTTTAGGATTGACTCTGGTAATAAAGTGTAGATGTGTATATAAGAAATTGGGAAATCTAAAATATTTAAGGAACAATTCCCAAATGCTACTTAAAAAAGATCTTTTCGTAATTAATTGTTAATTATTTACACTAGCACAATACATATAGACAAACTCAAATGACATATAAAAATAAAAATTTTGTTTTTCTAAAACAAAAATCAACACAAGAAAGACGACTTTTTAGGCCATGTCCATCAGTATGTCAATGGGGATTTCAAAACAATTTAGAATACTAAAAAGGATATTTAGGTGAGAGACAATGGATTTGGATAAAATAAAATTTTCGGTATTACGAGTCTAAGCCCAACTAATCATAATTTTTATTTCACATTTCTAACCATTTTAACTTCATATGCGTGACGTTTTGTTTTTTTTAATTATTTATAATTTCTAATTTTTGATTTTTTTATTTTTCTCCTATGTTCATCTCTCTTTTTTTCCCTCTCTCAATTTTTTTCGAATTCATTCAAACCAAACAGAAAAACATCGCTGTGTTTACTATTCACACTATCTTACCAGAGAATTAGATGGTACATCTATTCGCCGAAAGAGATAATTTTCACGATACAAATAAGGATTTAAAACAATTTTTGGACCTCCACATATAGATCTACAAAGCGTAGATGCATATCTAAGGAGCGTAGATGGGTGATACAAGGCTCATGCGTTCACGAGTCTAAGCATGTCCCAATTAGTTAATGAATTAATAGTTATCTATAAATTTAGCTACATGTCCATACATTTTCATAGAGTTATATATCGATCTATATCGTGCTAAATTTATTAATAGATATCTACGCAATTAGGTTAGTGATTTAAAATTTGTAATTTCCACCCATATTTTCGAATGGCTAATGATTTAGAACTGATTTGGAAAGAATTAAAAACAATATAACAACTAGTCCATTATTCATATGATTTTTCTCTTCATTTGTTTTCAAATTTTTTTAAAACATTTGTTCACCATAAAATTACATAAAACATTAATTAAATTTTTCATACGAAAAAATCCGTATTTTACTGCCAAAAATATCATTCGACAAATTATGACAAATAAAACGAGATTTCAAAATTTTCTGCCAAAAGTCTGATTTCACAATTCTATGATTTTCTGTGGAAAAAATGATTCAATTTTTTTTTAATATGGGATAGAGGGTTGTTACAAGAAACAACCAGAGTAATGAATAAGGAAGAAAGGTATCCGAGTGTGCTGTTTCTTCTTTTCCCAATCATTTATTTATTTTGGGTATTTTCTCCATCATCATATTATTGATGTTTATTATCCATGAGAGCATAGTACCTGCAAGGAAAAGAGCGATCATAAACGGTAGCTTGCAAAAATGTTAATTGATTCTAGTGGAGTTTACTAGTCCGAGTCTCACAAGAGATGTACCCTTAGATACGGGAACTGTTTAAAATGGTTTGTGTGTTCTCTATGCATGGTGCTATTATGAGTGTGATTGATCAATGACAAATAAAATAGAGGTATTTGAAACACTTTTGAATCGAATTGTGAATTGTGGCTTAGAATAATTCCCTGCATAGCCAGGAGATCTTCACGAAGCTCAATCCATGGATTTGGCTGGTCAATCATTAGCATGGTTGTTGTTGCATTTCGAAGCCAAGGTCGTCTAAGCGTTCCGAGATTCAATATATATTGAACGTGAAAGCTCTTTTAAAAGATTGCGATAAATTCTACAGGAAGAAGGTGAACTTTGGTAGCTCTAAATAATAACCATCCAAGTCTGTCGAGTGAATCTGCTATATCCCCAAAGGAGATAACTACGGAAGCAAAAAGAACGAGATCGTAATCGATATAAATCACATAACACAAAGGCCCAAATTAACTTAGGATGAAAATGTCCTGCATTACTTTGAAAAATAGATTTGTACATGTATGGAGGAAGGTATCCTTATCTACAACATTACAAGGAAATTTCATTCGAAAAAAGTAACATTAAACACACAAAAATAAAACTTGATGTCAGTTTGGAAGATGTGCAACGATCACACCTAACTTCTTCGGTCAATCTTTATTTGTGAATTCTCTCATAGCTTCTCTCATCTTACGCATCGCTCTTTCATGTGCTTCAGAATTCTGTTTAAGCCTCCTCTCCAACTGAAAAATAAATAGACCATATTAGACCAAAATAAACAAGTGAAAAAAAACTATAGTTCAAAGTGTGTCAATATGAATTTACAAGTTGTGTCATCCGTCTCATTTTTTCGTCATGCTCCAATTCTAAATCACGCTTCATCACTTCTATTTCTGCTGCAAAGTTTTTAGACTTAACTTTCCTTTGTTGTTCCCTAAACTTATCACCCTTTTCCTGGGAAACCGATGAATTTCGTCACTTAAAAATACCATACGAGAGATCAAACACACTTTTTATATTGAATGCATATCAAACATAAAATTTCTACCTTTATCATGCGATGCATCTGGTTAGTATACGGTTTCCCACCATTATTCTTTCCTATAGCTTCGACATGGGCCAGAAGTTGCTTGACTTGCTTAGCGTTCTTGACTATGTCCTTAGTCATGTTATTAAACAAGACTTTTCGACCACCACACAGTCGAAGAACTCTCTGAAATTTTAGTATTACTTAAATCAAACTAAAAGAAGACATGTACCACTAGAAGCATCATAAAAAAAAAATGTAAGGATTATAACGTAAAAAACCTACTGTTAAAAACCCTGGACAACCTTCACGAAAATAATCGTCCAATGTCTGCTCGTTTGCTTCTAGTTTGTCACCCCCAGTGAACACAACAATAATATAGTCAAGAATTTTACTGTCGAAAATCAACTGCAAGGTATCAAGTGTGGACTCTTCTTCTTGTGTAATCCGATTCCCGGCAGATAAAACGAACAGGAAGGCATGAATTCCTCCTTCTGCCATAGTTAAGCAATTGACGATCTCCCTACTAATATAGTTAGCAGACACTGATGAATCAAAGAGACCTGTTTCATGGTACTATAGTAAATTAAGTACGACTTTGATGAAAATAGTTATTAATACAAAGTTGGTTACATCACAAGTTTTTAATGGAACACATACATACCAGGAGTGTCAATCACATTGATTATTGGACCATCTTGTATTGCAGTTCTATACATCTTACATTCCATGGTAACACCTCCTGCTTGTAGTTCCGAAGCGAACATTATCTGACCTAGGATGGTGTTCCCTGTTGCGCTTTTTCCATTTCCGGTACGTCCTACTAGAACTATGTTTTTAATTGGCTCTAAAGTATTGGAAATGAGAATGGAGAAATAAAAAATTTAATTAGCAGAGTATACGAAAGGGAAGCTCACACAAGCTTCCTTGATCTTCTAAGTGAAGAAAAAAGAAGAATTAGAATGAATGAACAAAACAATTGACCAAGTAATTAGAGTTTTACTATTAGATTGGTTGTCCGGGCCTGAGATTAAGTGTAGGTGTATTTGTCTTTCTATTTCAATGTATAAGTTGTTTTAAGGATTTTATTTGGTTTTGATTTTCTCATATTTGTATAGCTTTAAACGGATGCTCCAGACATAGTAGACTAAACCGTTAGTAAACTAAACTATCTTAGTTTTGGGGTCTATAACATTCCACTGTCGCAGACCAAAAATTGTTTAGAACATGACACATTTGCAAATTATTTGTGATATTAAATTCAAAGTGTTGATAATTATTATTGACATTAAAATAAATTTGCACTTGAATTGTATACCTGATGTGGGGAATGGAGACAAATACGGATCATGTTGAAATGTGTCGTTTAGCGAATGAGACTCTTCTTCATGTGCTTCTACACTCTGTTTAGCACATATGATTTCAAACAAATCATTTGCTTCACATAATTGTTAAACAATAACAGCAAAAAAAAACTTTGTATAAATAAGTAATAATATAAATGTATTATAGTAAAAGTATATAACTACTTTACAAAACTAATCGGAGCTAGTTTCCTATTAGTCCTGCCAAGAATTGTCCTCATCAAAATTAACCTTCCATGCCTCTAGTATCACAGGGTCTACTCCTGACTTGAAGCCTCTCTCCATCACTAATCGAACCATTGTCGCTACTATAGCCACTAAAACAACAAGACTATCAGAATCTCTCTCTTCCTATGTTACTACCAATAGGAAAGTTGCAACTTCATAATCTACTGAAACATTAGTAGCCGAGACACAAAGTTATGCCAACATGCACAACCCCGTAACCAAATATGCTCAGCGGATCTTGAGAGACTGAGAAACTGGTAAAAAAAAAAAAGAGATGCAATGGACTATTGTTGGGGGTCGTAGGAGCCGTGACCATGGTGGGCGAGGCAGTCGTGGTAACCATCACTAATGATCTTGCTCTTCTCTATATATCTTTCTCCCTATTCTTTATTAGCTAATGCTATCTCATATCTTTTTTCTCATGAACTAGACTAAGTGTATGTTTTTTCATCTCTCTAACTCTCTTTAAGAAAATAACTATGAATTTTAATTGAATATGATTATAGAAAAAAAAATCTTACCTTTATATGACGATACATATCGTTAGTATACGGATTTATTTTCTTACTAATTGCTGCGACATGGGCCATAATCTGATTGACTTGTTCAGCCTTCACGCCTTCATCATTAGTCATGTTATTAAACAAGACCTTTCGGCCATTGCAGAATCTGAGAACTTTCTGAAATTCCAAAACTAATCATACTCAAAAACAAAATAAAGAAGGAAAAAAAAGATATGTGTGGACAAAGAATTTTTGCATTTTGAAAGAAAGCAGACCATAAGAAATTCAGGACAACATTCCCGAAAATAATCTTCAAACTCGAACGCCTCGAACTTTTCCCCGTTAGTGAGCAATAAAATCATATATTCAAAGATTTTACTCCCAAATATGCGCTGCAGGGTATTAAGTGCATACTCTTCCTCTTGTGAGATCCGATTCCTTACAGATAGAACAAACAACACAGCATCTATGCCTTCTTCCACCAAAGTTAAGCAATTGATTATTTCTTTACTTATGAAGTCTTCGGACACAGACAAATCGAACATACCTGTATCATGTACATATACCATAGTAAAACCAGAGTTTGAACAATTTAGCCTTGGCCAATATAGCAAGGAACTCTTAGATATACCAATATATTATGACTATTTGTTAAGGATATACATTAAGATTGTTAGGCTAAATATGAAGTTTTAAAGGAGCACATACCAGGAGTTTTAATCACATTGATCATTTGACCATCTGGTGTCGTGGTACTATACATCTGAGAGTGCATGAAAGCACCTTCGGAGGTGAACTTTTTTTGACCGAGGATGGTGTTCCCAGTGGTGCATATTCCATTGATAGAACGCCCTACTAGAACTATGTTTTTAACCGGCTTAGGCACGGACGTTCCCATGTTCTGATCACCAGCAATGTTTATGTTTTTATCCGGCGGCTTAGACGCGGACGAACCCATATTCTGATCACCAGCAAGCAATTATTTGCTAAATTCCTGGACATACCCATGTTGACCAAAAACAATTCATGAAATGATACATAGTAAAAAAGGGGACAATAAAGAACAGTTGTATACCAAACGGAAACTTGCAAGCTTTCTTGTCGATTTGTGAGTGAAGAAAAGAATGAATTTACAAACTTTATCAACCAAACAATTCAGGACTAAATGGACGATTACCTGCCCAAGTCCAACATTGTCTGTTGATTTTGGTTTGAGATAAACAATATTTTTATTTTGATATGCCATTTGAGTTTTTTTTTTTAATGTGTATTGTGCTAGTGTTAATTAATTAATTTGCGTATAGTATTAGTGTGTATAATATATGGTTAAATGGACACGGTAAACGAACCAGAAGCCCAAGACACGTTTTTGAGTGAGACGACTATTTACAATTGACTTTTGGCAGTTCGTGCCAATTAGCCATCTAGGCGAAGAAGACTTTTTTTTTATTACTAACTTTTAGGAACTGGAAACGTTAAGCGAACAAGAAAGGCTCTAATATTTGAAGATCTAACTTGTTTGTTTAGCTTTGTCAAACCACTTAAGAGAGAAATAAACAAATAGTAAAAAAGAGAACACACTAGGTTTATTGAGTTCAGGTCCAAACCGGTATCTTATATCTCGCAATAGATTTGTTGGGTTCTACAAACTTATGTGAACTCCATAAAGAATTAAAGATCACCCATGTAATATTTTAGAACCCTGCTCTACGCCCATAGAAACTAGAAACCATCTATTCTTCTCATGTCGATACGCAGCAGAAGTTTGGACTGCAATAGCAAAGAACATATTCAAAAGCAGGTTCTCTACGGATTGGCAAGACACAGTGGACTGCATTTCAGAATCTCACAGTGATCGTATCTAGAGTTTTCTAACCAGATGTATCTTTCAAGCAACGATATATGCTTTCTGGAAAGAAAGAAACGCAAGACGCCATGGAGAACCACCAAATTCTGCGGCAAAGCTCATCCACTGGTTAGACAAACAAGTCAGAAACCAGCTCTCAGTCATTAAATCCACCGGAGATCGAAGATATGATGAAGGAATGCAACGTTGGTTTGCTTCCCGTTGCTAATCGACTCAGAGGAAGTTCAACTACTATCCCAAACACTGATTCTATTTTTTTTTTTGTCAACCACACATTAATTAATAAATAATTCTTTGATTGGTTGTCCAACTAGGAGGAGAAGTGTTTACAAAAGTAACTTCAGAAAATAAAAGTCTAGAAGATCGGGCTAAACAGTCCGCTTTAACATTACATAAACGAGAAATAAGAGAAAGCGAGAACAAGGGAAAGTAGACACGGAGCAAACCAAACTCATCTAGCAGATTGGAGAAAGCGGGCCAATCTTCAGGTGACTGTATCATCGAGACTAACTCCGAACAATCTGTTTCAAACACCTGACAATCAATCCTTCTTGAAAGTATATTTTTCATAGCCCAAATTAAAGCTTCCATGAGGGGGTAATCCCAATATGGTGCCCGCAGTTCGATTCCCGTTGGCCACTGAGGTTTTCACCTGGCCCCCTCGGGCCTCTAGGAAACACACTGAGCGTTGGGCTCGGACGGCCCGACAGGGACCCGGCCTCAAGCCTTGGTGCTAGTCGGGCTTCGGCCCGGATACCTGGATTATCAAAAAAAAAAAAAAAATTAAAGCTTCCATCTCCGAATGAAGGGGGGAGGGACATCTCCGAAGGCACTTTGCACCGAGCAATATCGTTTGATCGATTCCTTGAAAACACCACCATCCTATACCCATAGTTGGATCCGAAACTTTCCGAGAGCCATCAATCCGACATCTTATTGATTGAACTGGATTTTCCAAAACTTCCATAGTAGAGCTAGTTTCGCCTGTTTCCAATTGAGCTTCTTCCCACATTAATTTTTCATTTAAAGCATGATTTAAAATATCTATGAGTACTGATTGTAAACTTTTGAAAACCTTTTTATTTCTATCTTTCCAAATGAACCACAAAATCCAAGCATAACAGTATGTGAACTCCCCCCCCCATCTGGAGTAGAAGTTAATCTATTTAAACACTTCTGTTTTTGTCTTTATTTTCACTCTCAATCAAAGCTGATGTAAAACGTTAATTTTTTTCTTTTGAATATAATTTAACATTTTATTAAATATATATATATATATATATATATATTTCAGAACCCATCCGAAAACTAATCTATTGATTTCTTTTGATTAGTCTCTGAAGAGATGACTTCTTGTTCTTTATCTCGAAATATTTTTCACATAAAAGCACAATTAGTAAAATATCTCATTCGATCAAAAATATTTTGTTCGACGAAAGATTTAGGTGAAGGTGTGGAAAATGAAAATGACCATTCGACTTACCAAAAAAAACTGGTAAATAGCTAGGTAAAAGAAACTCGAATTTGTCTCAAAAAGAAACCATAATCATCTATCTATATATACATTTTTGGAGTATCTTTAGCAAATAAATCCAGGAGTTGGGAAGTATTTACGAAGCCATGCAATTGACATTTATAATTTAGATTTATTTAATTTAAGTTAAGATAGTACAATCAAAACCGTTAGCAAACAATTTTCCAAAATTTCGAGACAAAATCTTCCACCATATCTCAACAATGCTCATTTTTTCTCCATTTAAATTAAAACTTCCAAATATTTCTAAAATGATGGGTTTAAACTATTAAACAAACACTAAAACTATTAATTTATTTCATATCTATATTTACATTTTCGGAGTACATTTAGTAAATAAATTCTAGAGCTGGGATGTATTTACAAGTTATGCCAAACAGATTTAGGAAATTAAAGTATCTCTTAGCAACGATTTAGTGTGTTTCATGTTTACAAACAGATTTAAGAAATACAATACATTAACACATTTTCTTAGCCTATTAATTTGACTATATCTCTTTATTTCTTATAATTCACCACATTTAATTCAAAATATGAACTCCCTCCAATCAATCCATTATTTTCCAAAAATCTTGATACAATCTTTCTAAAAATCTAGACAATACTTATTTATTCTCTACAAAAATATATTCATAGCAACGATAGCAGTCCAAATATATTTCATATTTACAAACAGATTTAGGAAATACAATACATTAACACATTTTCTTAGCCTATTAATTTGACGATATCTCTTTATTTCTTATAATTCACCACATTTAATTCAAAATATTAACTCCCTCCAATAAATCCATTATTTTCCAAAAATCTTGATACAATCTTTCTAAAAATCTAGACAATACTTATTTATTCTCTACAAAAATATATTCATAGCAACGATTTTTAAAAAAAATAGTTACTACAGTTAAAAGTCGGAGTTCTTGGTATATTCCTAAAAATCCGAGTAGATATATTTGAGTTCTATAACAATTAAAAATATATATATTATGAAAACCATTTCAAGCATACTTTTAAATTAACTTGAATTATATATTTTTAAAATAAAAAATATTATTAAAAAGAAAAATAACGAAAATGATGTTTAATTTTACAGGACGGGGTTATATGGTGAGACGGGTTTGAGTCGATATTTATATGGGACGGTATCACGGGTGAAATCCTAGAATTGAAAATCAAAATACAATTATACAATTATAAACACTAAACAAAACAAAAAAAAATATTAACAAAACAAATACGACTTAAAATTTAAAAATTTTAGTATAAAAAATCGATCCGCGGTATGATATAAAAATATATAAGTACGTTTAAATCAAATAAAATAATAAATTATATGTATAGATACTCTTTAACAAAAAAATATTCGGTTTTCTAAAAAATATAGCCCCGCGGTGTACCGCGGCTAGTGCATATGCATTTCAAAACCCTATGTGAGAAAATTAAATCCATACTATGTTCAAGTGAAAAATAATCGAAAACAATCAAGCAATTAATCATCAACTAAGAAATCAATAATCTAGCCAAGGGAACAAAGCAAGGATCTTCAAATATTTCTAGGTGATTCACGAAACATCATACGATAAATACGGGCGTCAAATTCCAAAGCTGATGATTTTTTTTTTTTTTTTCAAAGATGATGATTCTTTACAAGAAGGATAAATCATTGTCCCCAATGCAAATACAATGCATTACTCAATGCATTAAGACTTGATTCTTATGAAAGAATACATGGATGTTTATATGCCCTTGTTTTCGATTTTTTGAAAAAAATTGAATTTTTTTTTATTTCTTGATACATAAAATAGAAACTGCAAGACTCAAAATACACAAGAAAAAACAAATTAAAAGATCTAATATTTGAAGATCTAACTTGTTCGTTTAGCTTTGTCACACCACTGAAGAGAAAAAAACACATAGTAAAAAAGAGAACACACTAGGTATTTGAGTACAGGTCCAAACCGGTATCTTATATCTCCCCAATAGATTTGTTGGGTTCTACAAACTTATGTGAACTCCATAAAGAATCAAAGATCACCCATATAATATATCAGAACCCATCCGAAAACTAATCTATCGATTTCTTTATATTAGTCTCTAATGGAAGAGACGACTTGTTGTTCTTTATCTCGAAAGATTTTTCACATAAAAGGACAATAAAATATCTCATTCAATCAAAAATATTTTGTTCGACGAAAGATTTAGGTGACGGTGTGGAAAATGAAAATGACCATTCGACTTAAACTGGTAAATAGCTAGGTAAACAAAACTCGAATTTGTCTTAAAAAGAAACCATAATCATGCATATGCATTTCAAAACCCTATGTGAGAAAATTAATCTAGCCATAATTTTAAGACTTGATTCTTATGAAAGAATACATGGATGTCTATATGCCCTTGTTTTTTCGATTTTTTGAAAAAAAATGATTTTTATTTTTTTGTTTTTCATGATACATAAAATAGAATCTACAAGATTCAAAATACACAAGAAAAAACAAATTAAAAGCGCAAACCACAAAGTGTGGACCTTAAAGTGTGGACGGAATGTAAGAGTCTTTGAACTCCTTGTTGGATCCTTTGAGGTAGATGCGTTTTCTGCGATCATGTAGCTCAAGAGTGATTTTCTTCATTAGCTCATCAAAAATCTTTTGACCTTTCTTTTGTATCGCTGGAATGATGATTGTCGTGTATATGACAAAGAGTTTAAGTATGTTGAATTTGTATTTGATTTTTGTTTCCAATGAATCTTAACGGAATTAAGGTCAATGTGGTAGAGTTCTTGAGCTTGAAAGGCTTTCCCCTTTTGCGCATACAATTTTTCAATCATTGTTCTTCTTCTTCTCTTTGGGGAGGGTGGGTGGTTGGATTTGTACCCCATTTTGATAATATCCTCGTTGGGCATCTCTTTTGCTTTCTTCCCAAATGTTGGGAGAGAGTTTCTTTTGTTGTCTTAATAACGGGCCCGTCCTCCATTGAGTTTACAAAAAGAGAGTCTAGGTTTGGAGTACTCTTCATCTAAGAAATCTTCATCTCCATGATTTTCAAGAGGGGCTTGCACACTTCTTTTAACAACAATATTGATTGCTTTACATTGAATCTTTGGCTCCATCTCCCTCTCAATGCAACCTCTTACCGCAAGGCAGCCTCAATTCACGAGGTTTGGAGTACTCTTGATGATATCGTTGGAGCCTCAACCCGAGAACACACCTGACAACAAAACAACGAGCGATTACATGAGGACTATGAAGGCCAGAGCTGATGAGTTTGCTCTTCATCATTCTTAACTATAATTTAGACCAATTTGGTTCCCGGTTCTAAGTCATGTAACTCTGTTTTCATCAACCTATCTGTTTTCTCTCCCACATAGTCACCACAACATTAACACCAAACAGACTTGAATCTACAAATATGTAACAATAGAGTACGGCACCAAAAATGGTTACATTATTTTATGTGAAAAGAGTAGACGAGGCAAATTAGCAGACCTCGTTTGTTTTGTCTTTTTTTTTTATTTGATGATTAGGAGGTTTTAGGCCCATGAGCCCCTACATCCTCCTAAGACAGAGTCACGGCCATGTAATTTAACTCTCCTTTAGAGAGAAGAACCTCCTAACATGAATCGAACTAGTGAACTCCAAGATCCCAACATTTTCGGTAACCAAAGGTTTAACCACTAGGCCAACTCGTCGTTGAGTAGAAACTTTTATCATGATCTCATCATATCCACATGTGTAGGTCATATTAGCCAAAACAGGTCAAAGTTTCTCAATATAAGTCACCTGTCTTTATTTCATCATTAACATAAATAAAAAGTTGTCAACAAACTCTACTTGTATTACAATCGCAAAGGAAATCCATAAATGCAAACAAAAGCATAAATCACAAAACACATAAATAAAATAAGAAGTATATGAAATGTGCACAACCAGACCTTCATTGTCTTCCTTGATCTTTTATGAACACGGACTTAGCTGAATTGGTACACACCGATCACAAGATGTTGCATTCCTGCTTCCTCGCTGCCTGCTGCTCCCGCTTCTCTTCATCTCTTTTACGCTGAGCATCCTTTCCGATAATTGATATTTCCATAAAGTCCTTCATCATATTCATTTGTCGCTCATTTGCCGCCGCAGATTCTTTAAATATCCTCTCCATCTGATAGAAGACAAGAACAAATAATCAAGGACTAAGATTTTATGAGCTCTCAACTATCAGACTGTTAATATGGCAAAGGCCCCAGAGATAATGACAGTTTCGACCGGAATAATTAGGAAATTGTAAGCTACCATCTGTGCCATCATGTTCATATTTTGGCTATACGACTTGTCGAGCTGTTTCTTCAACTTTGCTTTCTCTTCATCTGCAATGTTTTTTTCTTCAATTTCCTTCTCTTCCCTTTTAACCCTTTCAGCCTCTTCCTGAGAAACCAGAAATTGTGAAGCATTGACAAATATTCTATTGGCACAGCAGACAAGAGATGGGAAGCATCAATCAAATCAACTATAGTTTCACCTGTATCCTACGGTGCATCGTGTCCGTAAATGGATTCCCACCAGTTTCCCTTTCGATCGCTGCAACATGGACGAGAAGCTCGTGGACTTGCTTAGCCTTCACCCCTTCATCTTTCGTTCGGTTATCAAATACAACCCTTCTACCTCCACATAGTCTGAGAACTTTCTGAATTGCACCATCCAATCCAAAAACATAAATTAATGAGACAAGAGGAAGCATCCATCGCCACTATATAAATATTTAAACATGATAAGAACTCATACCTTTAGAAATTCAGGGCAACCATTGGACAAATAATCCTCTAGTGTCATATTCCGCTCTTCCAACATATCACCGCAAGTGAATACAACGATCAAATAGTCAACAATTGAAGCCCCGAACAGCATTTGTAACGTACAAAGTGCATTTTCTTCCTCTTGTGAAATCCGAGTCGACATGGATAGAACTAACACGACAGCATGTAGCCCTTCTCTAGCAAGAATAAGGCAGTTGACGATTTCCTTACTAATAAACTCTGCGGACACGGCCAGGTCGAAGAGACCTGTATCAACCAAACCATAGTAAACCTTGTGAATTCGAATTACTTAATAGTTCCGAAAAAAATACTCTAAATTACGGAAAGAAAAACAAAAAGTTACAAAACTAATACTTTTTTAGAGGAAATTTCCATCAAATCCATAGGTCAAGAAAAAAATGAAAAACTCAAGCAAAAGATTGTTTGCTTTTTAAGTCATATGAACTCTAACTACTCAAAGTTACAAAATTATTGTCCAAAAATATTTAATGATTTATTATTTTTTCACAAATAAGTACCAAGTTAAATTTACCATTGCTTTAGTATAGAATATTATATTTACTAAACATTCCAAAATTTGTGGCTATCCTGAAAATATAAAATCTAAAAAAAGTAACCACTCTAAATAAAATGTTACATTTGCAAATTTATTACGTGGTGTTACTTTTTTCTGTTTTCAATATCTCAACGGTCTTAATTTCCTTCAAACCTTTTTTTATCTTTTTGGTATGCTCTTGAACTAGTTACTCTACCAAAAGAGCTTCTGCAACCACATGTCAACATACATGGTTTAAGGTTTTCCAGAGTTCTTTTGTTTCCCTTGTTTCAATTAAGATTCTAAGTTTTTGAGATAGGAAAGAAATCTAAACTATTGACGGTAAAGCTATGCTATTTGTAAAAGCACTTTTGTTAGGAATATCCATATGGAAAATGAGAGATGACATATACGAGCATATAAAAGGATGAGTCAATGCACTTATTGTCAATTAGTTTTGTATTGAAAGCCACTAAAATTTAACATCTATTGGAGGCCAATCACAAGCTGTCCAACCCAAACAGAAATCGATTCTATTTGAAATCGACTGGCTCCAAAATTAGTCCGGCCAAGCTAACCTAAAATTGACCCTATATTAGAATTCAGAGTACAAAAGCCATCATCTTGAAAAGACATCAATTAGTTTTTGAGTTGGAAAGTAAATTATGATCAAACTTAAAATAGAATTTATCAGAAAATATGATTAAAATCATTAAAGAGAAAAATCTAGCTAAGAGAAAATGTGTGAAGATACTAAATCAACCATAGTTCAGAAGATCAAAAACAACGAAATAGATGTGGTTTTTTTTTTTTTTTTCTATAGTAGTATTTATTATTTGTGCAGGTATAATCACAAGACTCATGTGATCAAGTAAACAATAAATTCCATTCAATGTTTGAAGTGGTCTCATACCAGGAGTGTCAATCACATTGATTATCGGGCCATCCGGTGTCACAGCTCTAAATGTCTTACATTTTGTGGTAACACCAACAGCTTGATATTTTGACTCGAAAACCTTTCTTCCGATGATGGAATTTCCAGTGGCGCTTTTTCCATTCCCAGTACGGCCTACCAGAACTACGTTTTTGACGGGCTCTGACGCTGAAGGCAACTCCCAACGGTCAGTTGTGTTCTGATCTTCAGCCATCTGAAAAAGAAAAAAAAATCTTGTATTAGTAAAATATTTTGATTCCTTACAAAATATAGAAGAGTAGAGATATTTCATATCACAAGTTTTGGTGATGCTTGTAGTTGTGTTTAAAAATCGTGAAAATTTTGACATGCGGAGACAGTTGAGAAAACTTCCGTTCATTACAAGAGCATCATAGTAACTAAGATTGTTTAAGATAGAAGACATATAACTAATCGAAAGATATTGAATACTAAAGTAGCACACTACGGAAACTCACTTGTTTTCTTAATCTTTTTCTTACCAAACAAATCAAGTTGAGAACACAAACAGAAGGACAAATCTGAGAATGAATGCACAAGAAAATACATGATCTAATTTAAGTTAAATAGGAGATGGCTTGCCAATAATATGTGTAACAAACGCAAATTGATAATTAGTAGATTTCAGTGGAAACTACATTTATTTTATTTTTTAGCCATTTGAGTTTGTTATGATATTGTAATAGTGTAATTTGCTTGTTATTATATAAGACAACGGAAACGGTAAACGAATAAGAAAGGACAAGACGACTTTGGCTTCGAGAATATACATTTGTATTTGAGCTAGCTATCTTTTTTGATTAATCGTGCTAGCTATCTTGTCCTGCGTGGAACACAAGTTATCCTACGGCTGAAGAAGTAATGCGAGAACCCTTTTTTTATATATATCATTTGATTAGTCTAAGTTAAATGTCAACTCTACAACGTCCCTGCAAAAATTCAAGGAAAATTTAGTAGAATACATATAACCAAAAAAGAAAAAAACAAATAGTAGAATAGTAGAATAGTCTTAAATTAGAGTGAATTTGTGAACCAATACCTTTTCAAGAATTGGTAAACTTAAGTCTTTTTACCTAAAATTCTATTGTTTTATATATGAATATTATTTAAGAATTTAGAGAGATATAGTTGAAAAATTCATGACTAAACAAAAACATGTGGATGGTAATGCAAGAATGATTTGATTCTTATGTTATGGTTTGGGGTGATTTTCCGTTACCGTATAAGAACCCGACATGTGTCTTGACATATGAAAACAATCCAAGAGAGGCATCCGGAATCATCTTCATCATGAATTAGACGGTGTAAGTTCCCATAGAATAGAATTCCCGGGAGACAAGAGGATGATGTTTTGACCCGAACGCTTTCAGCGGGCCATCTATTCAACTTAGGCGCAGCCTGAGACATAGCAAGACCAACAAGGCATTCAGTACCAAAAACTGTGCCAGCCACAAATTTCGCATATTACTCCATCAAAATATGACGTTCCATCTTGGCGAAGCATGTCAACCATCGATGTTCAGTCCCATCGCCACAACCAGTAGCACGCAGTTCACAACATTATAGCCCTTAAACCTAAGATGACCCGACACTTTTTTTTTTTTTTTTTTAACCCTATCGGCTGATCCGGTCGGCCTCGGTAGGAACGCACCGAGGTGCTACAGAGTGGAATTTTCCCGATCCAGGTAGAATTGGGCCACCACACTGTCTGATCCGAGTTTGGAATACCTTCCGACTAATGCCTGGGGGTAGTCAGGCCGCCTGCATTTCTGACTACCAGGTAAACCAATTGGGCCAAGGCCCAACTGACAGACTTCCCAAACAAATGTGTTTTTGTTTCCAGGGAGAATCGAACTCGGGTCTGGGAGTTTCACCCTTCACCAAAGCTTCCTCTGCCACTAGACCACAAAGGCTTGGGCGACCCGACACTCTAGTTGGGTACTATAAATACCTCTTTTCTAATCAAGAAGTTGAGGAGAAGAGCTTGGTTGATTGTGGACCAAGAAATGACCAAGAGGTTTGTCTCCAAGACCTAACAACACAACTCATCACTCTCGACCCTACACTTAGAAAATAAAAGGACGTGTGAGACCTCTCGTTAGTCCTTTTTGTACGTTCTCTATCTTACTCATTATGATCCCTCATGATCTGAGTTACCTGGCTCCCAGAGTGTTCTAACACCACTCCGAGCTATCTTTATCTCTTCTAAAACTTTCCACAAAATGATTGATTGGGCCTTAAACCACTTCATCTAATTATTAGAACGTTAACCGTAACTTTTCTCTCGATCGGATACTTGATTTCTTGATCATTCACATTGACTCATTCGAACTAGAGCATCAGGGAGTACTTGGGAGGACCAACCCTTTTTCCCTACCGTAGTCTATCTTAACCATGTCATTATGATAGGATATTGCCCTCCAAGAAGGCGGTGGAAAGGGAGAACCTTCATCGAACATTTCAGTGAGCTTCTTTCTCTTTTTTTTTTTCTAGTGGATGAACCACCTATATTATGCTCTCTGATTATTTCTGAGCATTCAACATGTTTTCCGAAGAAGAAATTCAACCGTCGGAATGTTCACAAATCCGACATGAAAAACTATTAAAGCCATATCATCATTATAATAAAAGCTGCGTGGTGAAATATACCCATTATTTTTCCCTAAATTGTCACTAAGTTTGCGATGACCGACAGTGTAAAATATGTCTCTAAATCATCACTAAGTTACCAACGATATACTTTGATGTGATTGGTTTCATATCTAGTCGTGAATGGTAATTCTTCACAAAATAGATCGAGGCTAATCGTCGTAAAAGTAACATGAAAATAACGTTCAAATATATTTAGTGCTCGACAATAGTCCACGGAGAATGTTACCTAGCTCGGATTTGCCGCGGGGTATGCCAATAATGCAACGGTTTGTAGTGATGGTAAGCATGCAAATAAGGCATGGTTAATGGTTTCTTCCCCCATTCCACATCTCATAAATTGTGTATCACAATCTATTCTTCAAGATTTTAGTCTTAAATCTACCGCTAACGCAAACTGATGTCAGTTATCATAAAATTATTGTATGTTGTGTGCTACACAGTAACCTGATTTGACTATAGATTTAATTTATTTTCTTAAACGTGTAACTAATTTTATCTATTTTAAAAACTTTCATAATCGGAATTCCTCGAATCAGCAAGATTTCTGCTAAGGTGAGAAAAATTCTTATAACATGTTAATATTCTATTCTTTTGCCAATTGATCAATCATGTGATATATACTATAAGACTCGGGGATATATGTGTTCCCGCCTTTGTGTCGACCGTGGCTAATCATCGGGGATCCATTGATATCTCCAAATTGAGATTGAAATCTTTGAACTGACATGTTTAAGAAGACCTTGTTCCATTATAAACCAAGATAATATTATGCTCTGACATCGATAGAAAGGCGAGTATATCACTTGTCTATCATAGAGTTTGAATCATAGTCAATGCTTTTTTAAATTTGGTTTAAACCCTTACCAGATTGGTTTTTATAATTCTTTTTGTAACCAAACCTGAATTAGTTATCAATCCTGCCAAATTTGAATTCCCTGACAACTAATGTTTTGCATATACAGCTATCGATCCCTTAATTGTTCATCTAAACTGATCCAACAATACACCAAAATGTATCTCTCTCTTTGAACTCTTATGGATCAAAGTGGCTTTCTAATGACAAAACTATCAAGTGACAATTACCAGAAATTTAGGTGAGATTATTTTAGTTTTACATAACTGAAATATGTGATCAGAAAATAAATAATGAAGCATACATATGCGTCAGCTGGCAATGATATGCAATTCAGACATAATGATAGCCTTAGTTTTTCGGACGAATTTCAACACCTTTAACAAAGAGCCCTCCCTTCCAACAGCCAGATTTGGTCTCATACATGGAGAAACTGATCTCTCCTGCATTATCCAGTGACGTTACAAACTCACCAGCTGATATATCTACCCACCGTTTCCCTATATGCTCTTTCAAGCACACGCTCCGCTCTTGTGGCCTTTTCTTACTATCGGGCAAGGTTAACTTCAGATTCACTGGTATTTTCCATCCATAAGCTGTATCTTCTAACTTCACCACATACACAACCTCATACGTTGTCGCTGGTGTCAGTTCTCTCGTGTCGAACTTTCCATTCACATCTAACCAACAAACTGCTTCTAGCACAGCAGCATCAGTGAGTTCTTGGCTTGAAAAATAAAATACGAAAGAAGCTCTAATGTTAGGAATAGCAGTCTCACAAGCTTACTACTGCTCATACTAAATAATATCTAGAAGTATAGTTAAATTACTCGCATTTTATTTCTGTTTTTAATCTAAGAATAAATATACTTATTTTGCTCAAATTTCCCCAAATTAGAACCATGTCTTTTTTCTTTTCTTAAATGAAGTATAATTTAATTCTTCCCTCGTAGTAGTCAAAAAATTTTAAATTTCTAAATCCATTAATTTATTTGGGTTGTAACTTATAAATACAGAAACCAAATCGAAAGCGATTAATTACCATTGAGTTCTGGTTGTCAATGGTTTTGGATTCTTCGTATTAAAAAAGGTATCTTAAATTTGGGAGACTTTCCAATAAATCAAGATTTTAGTTGATGTATTTACCTTTCCATTTAATTTAGAACTTTCTATACAGTTTTGTTTCAATCGGTTAAACAAGATCGGACACTCACACCACTTGTCCCAATTATGAAGTTTTTATAGAAGATATAAATCAAACTTATAAGAACTCTATACCTTGATATATCATACCGGAGAGGAAGCCATGACCAATACTCTTCGTTGTCCGACCATGCTATGCTAAGATCCCTTGCGTAGATCATGTGTTTCTGTCCATAAATTATCATTGTATGATGCATGATACATATACGTAGGAGGCATAATTGATCAATCTGCTAATCAGATCGCATATTTGATACACATGGCCGGTTAAACCTTTCCTAAAATAAAGAGACAATATGTACACAAGTATAACGTTGCGGTAACCTGAAAAAAAGTGTACTCACCATCATGATTGATGAATTAATGATGACCTCAAAACGCTATCTTTTGTAAGTATTCAGTTGATAAATGAGAAGAATCTGAAAGTGCGTCGTTCAAAACTAGTATTCTGAGATTTGTCTATACAAATTAAAAAAGAAACACAATGTAATTTGGTTTGGCAACTTGATCAATAGATTTTAGATTTGACTTTGGTTTTATATATTGTAGTTCTTTGTTGATTGATTCAAGAAAAAGAAAAAAGTTGTCGAATTTTTCTATAGCTATTCATTTACATTGGACGACTAACTCATTAATTGACACCGGTGCTTTGGTTTAGGCACTAACTCCTTTATTACTTCGTATTTTCTCGCTCATTAATTGGAATTCATTCATCATTACAATTCCTCATATTTTGTCTTTTACTTCCATTCCATAAAAGTCTGAAAAGCCCAATTTTTTTGCAAGCATAAACAACAACCACAAAGACCTAACATGCATACTAACCCAATACAATGATTTACTGTGAACCTATTTGTTAATTCTAGAGTCTTTTAACAATCCTACCATATTAACCAAGTGATGTCCATAATTCAACTAGTCCAGTTACATATGATTAACGGTCATGCATCTCAAAAGACCTTTTCAATTTAGTGTAGAAAACAAACTAATGACTTGTTTATATGAGTTATTGGACATCTTCATATTGACGTATTATAGGAGCAACCCATTGGACATAGTGCGGGAGCGACGGCTGGTGCTAGTGGTTACTAATAAAAATAACAAATTCATTTGGACTTTTGTTTTAGAAGTAAAATTATACCCCATGGTGCTTATATGTATTGTTGGACTTCTTCGTATCTATTTAATATCTCTGTTACTTACTTATTAGATACTAGTCAGCACGTACCCTAAGGTTGTGTTGTAGTAATGAATAAATTGATTATAAACATTGGTTAAATAGTTGTGGTCGAGCTGATTGAGAATTGTATTGGTCGTGGATGCTAAAGAAGAAAAGATCTGACTCTTTCATCCACGACACTTCCATTTACGTTTTTTTTATTGTTAGTTTTTTCCTACCATTTAAAAACGTTTAAACATAAAAATTGCTGGAAATTTGTTTGAGTTTACAATAGAGAAATTAGAGTAGTAAAATAGAGTTAACAAATACACAAAGAAGATAATTCCCCAACTGCTGAAATATAATACAGTAAGCACTTAATGAAATATTTTGAAAGGTGACCTCCTCTTCCTGCTCCGGTATGTCTTCCAAGCCACTCTTTACCATATATGGCGAGAGAGAAACGCAAGACGACACGGTGAAATCAGTTCACCATCAGCCCGCCTCATCAAGTTAATTGACAAGAATGTGCGAAACAAAATCTGCTCAATTCGGGATACAGGAGACCATAAATATGACGACTGCCTCATGTTATGGTTCTCTACTCGATCTCCTCCTTAAGCAAGATTTCTCTGCATTTTATTCTCTGATTTTCCCCTCTGTTTTATTCTAAAAAGTTAAACAAACTGATGCATCTATTGTAAAAAGGTTTTTGGTTGAATAAATTTTACATTCAATTAAAAAAAATATATATATATTTTGAAAGAGAAGAAGTGTGGTAGTGGAAGTGATCCTTCATGATCTTTGTCAGAAAGCGACTATACTAGTACCAAAATGGCAGATTAAGATTGTTAAACCCGCTGATGAATGTAAAAACAATAACAATTTGATAGGAATGAACCCTAATCAAGACCACACGACCTTTTGGTTTGAATATTCCCAAAACCTAGCTTAAGGGTTTGATGCCTTAAGTCTTATAAGACATTGATTTTGAGATATTTTACCCACATCTATATTATTAGCTCCCCTTTAGACCGCAACCCTCACGGAACTTGCGGCTATTTAAGGTATCTTTTAAGGTATTTCCTATTGGGACTCATCCCAATTGGATATTTTCCATTTATAGTATCCTCTCCCTTGTACTCGTCTCCAAACCGCTGTCATATGTTAGGTAAGTATTTTACGGCAGGTCAGACCCACTGGTAGGAATTGGCCTAAATCAAACCCACAAGTCTTTGGGAAGAATACTCAAACCTAACTATGAAATACTCAAATATAATTTATGTGAATTTGGATGCCCTTAGGTCTTATAAAGAATTGATTTTTTTCGCTCATAATCTAAGAAAACATAAATTCACATTACAACCCTAAAACCTAACTATGAAATACTCAAACCTAATTGAACAAACATTAAAGCACCTCATCAATGAAAAGAACTACATAATGGCATGCATGGAAATATAAAAACTAGGTTTCATTAATCTTTTGAAAAGATGTTAACTCATTAATCTTTACGAGATAGATTTATAAAGATAGATTATAAAGGATGTACACACGTTTTAGCAACTACCTATCTTTTCTTTAGGTGAGAATAAGGGATACATACGAGCTTATCGATTACAAGTTTGGTACTTGTATAGTTGCACTTGAGTTGGGGATAAAAAATGCAAAAGTAAAAAAGAAACCACAAATCACACATAAAATTCATAGAGTATATGACATGTGCACATCTAGACCTTGACTGTGTGTTTACCGATCTTTATTTTGCACCGTCTAGGCTTTAGGAAACCGATCACAGGATGTTACATACTCTTTTGGTCTCATTATGCATGTCTTCATTTTCTAAGTATGATCTCTCAACTTTCTCTCTCAGTGCTAGTAACATTCTCTCATGTGACGCCGATGACTCCTTTAGCGTGTCCTCCACCTGAAAGATATCCAAATCTGGTTATTACCTGATGCATCAAGAATCAGTAGTGTTGCCTAGAGTTTATGGGAAGGAAATTACCATCTGTGCCATCATGCTCATTTGTTGGCCATACGTTATTTCTAACTGCTTCTTCAACTCTTCTACCTCTGTTTTCTCAGGCTTCTTAGATTGCACCTCCTTTTGCTGTTCCATAAGCATCTCACCTTGTCTCTGAGAAATCGTAAAGATTCAAACATATTAACAAAGGTTCTATAGGCAAAGCAGACAGAAGAATTTTGAATAGGAGAAGCATAGTAATCACAGTTTCACCTTTACATTTAGATCATTTTCTTCAGTAAACAACGCTTTCCCACCGTTGAGCTTTTCAATGGCTTCGACATGGGCAAGGAGCTGTTTAACTTGCTCGATCTTCTTTACTTCATCCATAGTCTTGTTATTAAACAAGACCCTTCTTCCACCACACAATCTAAGAACTGTCTGAAAATGCAAAATTTTTATCCGAAGTACACATAAGATAGGCAGAGACCTATGTTGCAAATAATTTACATTATCAAACTAACTTGACCTTCAAAAATTCAGGGCAGCCTCTAGACAAATAGTCGTCAAGTGTCTTGTTTTCCATTTCCAAAACATCACCACCAGTGAAGAGAACGACCAAATAGTCAACGATTTTACTTCCGAAAAGGAGCTGTAATGTGTTAAGTGCGGACTCTTCCTCTTTTAAAATGTCAGTCCCCACAGATAGCACTAACACCACAGCATGTAATCCTCCTTCCGTGAGCGTAAGGCAATTGCTGATCTCCTTGTTCATATAATCCGTAGACACGGACAAATCAAAGAGACCTAAATCACGAAAACCATTCCACAGCCAAACTTTTATGAACTATACAAAGGCAAGATTCCGCAACACAATCTAACCACCTTAAAATCAGATATTATGACCCAAAAATCATAAAGGACATTGTGTGCTAATGGAAAGAGATATAGGCTCGCTTCATTTAAATGTTAAAGGAGAAACATACCAGGAGTGTCAATCAAATTGATTTTCAGGCCATCTAGTGTTTTAGCTTTACATGTCTTACATTCCACGGTTTCCGAGGTGAACACTTCTTTTCCGATGAGCGAGTTCCCGGTGGAGCTTTTCCCGTTTCCGGTAGGCCCTACAAGAACTATGTTTCTCACTGGCTCGGACGCTGAAGGTTGTTCCCGATCACTCATGTTTTTCTGGTTAAGAAACAAAATTAATGGTAAATCTTACAAGCTAATAAAATCGTACAATTTGTAGAACGATTACAGATGAAGGAGATTTTACTATGTAAAGAAATAAACTAGATACTGAAAAATATTGCGAGAAAAAGAATGATATAGGTAGGACACACTTAAGCACACGGCAACTCTATGACTTTCTCAGTTTTGACATTCGTTTTATTTCTTAGTTATTGTCCGGCCATGTCTTGGCTTGTCTTCAAAGTTTTTTTTTTATTTTCTTTTTGTCAACTATGTTTTTTTGTAGCTTATGTCATGTTGAATTTGAATAGAGTTTAGTTTGGAAATAACAAATAAAATTTGTGTGCCATTTCATTTTACTATGTTTTGTAATAATTGATAAAGTCTTTTTGGAATAACTTGAGAAAGTTTCACCTCAATAATGAACCTAACTCCATAAGTCTTTGGAGTATAAGTTATAAAATCTGGGATTATTCCTGAGGTAAACAAAACAAGAAGGTTAAATTGTTCCTTCACATACGTCTGTACAATTGCATTATCTGCATAAAGGTTCAACCTCATTTAACAAAATTGTTATAAAAAAAACTTTCTGAAGTTATTTCTGCTCTTTACAAACTTTCTAAAAGTTACCTCATTTCTGCTCTTTACATTTTCAATATCTTAGACTAGTACTACTGGGTACTCGACCGCTGACATCTCATAACCAAAGCTAGAGGTCAATACCGACTACTTTGGGAGGTAAGAAGGACACTTTGCAAGAGTTTTTTGCTAGTCTACAACATGTTAATCACTTTGGCCAACACCTAGGTGGTCAAATAACCTAAAGAAAGCGACTAATTCGCACATTGAGATCAGACGGGTGTATACGAGTTCCCAGGTCCATGTCCAATTTACTACTGCATCATTTGATCACTCGGGTTTATATTTTTATATTCCAGTTTCATTATTTAATGTGTTCCTTAATTGCATATAAAAAAAAAAAAAAACACAAAGCCACAATGTCCTGAGTGTGTTTACTTCGATTGTTAAAGTTCGGGAAGACGTGATCAAAACTCAAAAAGAGTGATGAATCACAAAAAGTTGTCTCAAAACTCAAAGTCGTCTTGTCCTTTGTGGTTCGTTTACCGTTTCCGATTTATATAAAAATAATAAGCAATTTACCCTATTACAATATCATAACAAATACAAAGTTGAAATTATGTAAACAAAACTAGTCTCCACTAACATCTACTAAATATCAATAAGCGTTGGTTGCACATATTATCGGCAAGCCATCTCCTATTTAAACTTCGATTATATCATCGATTAACTTGTTGATTCATCCTTAAACTAGCAACTGTATATACATACTCAACATCAAAGCTTTTTCCGTTCCCCTATTATAG